CCTTACTGTTTTGTAGTAATTGATTTACTGCTAGTTGTGCCCCAATGCCTGGCCCAGGCCTTTATATGAGGTGAGATAGCTGGGTTTAGGAGTGTCTTTGGTCAAGCGAAGAGAAATGGACCCAGTACCCGGTAAACAACAGAAAGCCATGCGGGAAGAAATTAGGTAAGATCTGGCTCTGAAACCAACTGAAGAAGTGGATTGAAAGCCCAGGGGATAATCCAGGACTTGATTTGAACAACTACCAACAATTTGCACATAATCAATTTTTAGAGTCACAGGCTAGGGCAGGGTTTCTCAAACTCAGCAGTATTGACATTCTGGGCTGGATAATTCTTTGTTTGGGGTTAGGTGAGGGGCTGTCCTGGGCATTATAGGATGTTTAGTAGCATCCCTGGCCTCTACCCACTACACCCCAGCAGTCCTCCATCCCCCAGTTGTGACTATCAAAAATTTTCTCCAGATACTGCCAAATGTCCCCTGAGAGGCAAAATTGCCCCGGGGTTGAGAACCACTGGTGTAAGACAGGGAGAAGGGAGGGAGGAAGACCCCGACTTATGCTCCCCTTGTAAGTGTCACTTGGTCTAAAATTCTTTTTCATAGTAAAAGCAAATCTCTATGTAGGGAGATGTGGTAGCAATAAAGCTCCCATTTATGAATACAAGGTTTTAGTGGACTTATGGGGAAACTTCTTTCCTCAGAATTTGGCTTCGGTATTTTCAAATTTTTATAAATTCAGTTACTCTCATACAGACTCTTGTACAGCTGGATAAACAAAATCAAGGAAACTCTCAGCCACATCTTCATTAGCAACTCTGCAGGCAAAATCCCTGTCATTTTGAGATGTTTTGTATTCAAAGCAATTGCAGAAAGAGTATTTCCAGATTCTACTGCCTGCTTTAAATCTGTGGTTTTGTCTTTATTATTGGTGTGGCCTATTACTGCTGGCCAAGTGTACAATAAAATTTGCAGCTTAAGTTTGGTGTCTCTTCTGTACAATCACAGCTGCTCTATCCCCTAACTCTGGGGCAAATACTAGTTCTAACAGTGCTCGTGGATCAATATAATATACATCTGGTCTCAGTAAGTGGCTCGAGAAATCTGCATCTGAGCTCCCACAGCAAAAACCATATCAAGGAAGGGCTATGCTGAAATAAGAAAGCCCCCACCCCCCGCCCCCGATTCAAACACCTGCATTCTGTGCAAACCCAAGATCTGAGCCTGGTCAGTTGCTGCTTGCACAGCAATTAGTTCTTGGATACTTTTGCCCCAATTATTAAGAGTCCACTGGAATAACAGATTATGGAAAAATGAGATTTCCGTAGAGGGACTTTATGTGGTGTCTTGGCTTGTTTTATTGCTGGCACTTTATCTTTCTGTAAGGCAATGTAGTATTTACCTTATGTTCTATGGCTCAAAACTTGAATTTACCTATCTTAAGACATAAAATTCTTGCAGAAATCCTCCTTAAATGTTGGCTGACTTCCCAGTCTTAGGTGTCACTTTAATTAAGTCACCCTAGACATAGCCCCAACTACCAATTGTGCAATAACAAACTTCTCAGCATGGCTGGGAGAAAATGAGCTTCTGATTCTGCTCAGAATTCTGCCGCTCACTTTAGATGTTTATGACTTTTTCTCTTCTGCTATAAAATGAGGGTGATAATTCATGTTCAACATTCAACACACTCAGCACAATGTGCCAGGCTCTGGGCTAAGTGTTGAAGAATTTATAATAAAAGAAAGAAAGAGAGAGGGAGAAAGGGAGAAAGAAAGAAAGAAACAAGGAAGGAAGGGAAGGGAAGGGAAAGGAACGGAAGGGAAGGGGAGGGGAGGAGAGGGAGGAAAGAAAGAAAGAAGGGAGGGAGGGAGGGAGGAAGGAGGGCAGGTTCCTGCCTTGGGAGATCTAGTCTAGAAAGCATTATCTCTGTTGTAAGTAGGGTGGCTGAGGGTAGGGCTGAAAGATATTCAAATAAGGAAAACAGATTTTCATAAGTGCTTTGAAATCACGAGTAAAATCTCATGTAGATTTAAGATCTTTTTATATAGCGAGAAACCCCTAGAGTGATAGACTGTGCTGTTCTTCACTTATATTAAAATAAGATATTGCTCCAGAATTCTGCATTTAGCAGCTGCTGGTATATGTGTCTCTTGCCACACTCATAAAGGTTTTTATTGTACAATAATGTGACATATAGCTCATCCCTTCTATGGGTCGATGCATTATTTATAATTAACCAACTTTGCACCATCTTCATGTGTGGAAGGAGCGGTAATTGGAGCTATCCATTTTCAGTTCACAGGAAACAAGACACTCTTCGTTTTTCATGGTGTCATTTACTTACCGCTCTTTCTGCCACAGGTTTGAATTGTTCAGCTGTAGCTCCTGTGTTATTTCAACGCACTCACAACTGTGAGGAGATGCCTGTTCAAAGTGAACAAACTTGAAAGCTCATGTGAAAAGGCTGAGAGGTTACCTTCATCGCACCGCATCAGCACAGATGTGTGGGGCAAAAGTGAAAAGTACACTGTCTGTACCCGAATCTGTTCGTCTGTAAAGTGAAACTAATCACGTTGATGTTAACGAATCTGAAAAAAAAAATGATTCAATGGAAGTTAAAATATTCGCCTGGCAGATGTTAGTGCTCGTAATAATTCTCCAGGGTTCACCTTGCACTAGGGTCATGAGGCACTTTGGATCCACAGAATGAAAGAACCCCATCCACCGTTTTGTTCTGAGAAATGGTCTGTATACTTACTCACTGTGCTTACTAACACTAATTCCTAGGCAGTTTCCCAAGCCCCTCTTGGCAGAAGATCATAGGAATCTCTGTAGTTGGGTTCCTCTTTCCTCCAGCTCTACTTTCTCCCATCAACGAGGCTGCAATTTTGGGTCATCTTCTTCCATGGTGGGCCACAGAGGGGGACAATCCAGACATTGGACAATCCAGAAGTTCTGTCTCTGGAGCTCAGAGGAGGACCCTTGTTTCAGAATGAACTTCGGTGAAGGAGACGATGCTTTATGGGAGCCCAACGGTTAAAGAATCAACTCATTTCAGACACAGATACAGCACTAACCAAGGGGACTGCACAACTGTTCATGACTTGAAGGAGCTTTGAATAGAGCACAGGAGTCAGCCAGGTGAAATATTAAGCACAAAATAAACAATCTAAGGGCTGGATATAGGTACAAATCAGAGAGTGCTGCAGTCATTCATTCTGGCTAGGGAAACCCAGGAGGTATTTACAGAGGAATTTAAGCACCTGAGCTGAGAGGAGGATGATAAGAGAACTCCAACAGTGAGAAAAATTTCAACTAGTAAGTGGGGGTGGTTGGGCAGAGGACATTGCGTGGGAAGGAATAGGGTAAGCATAGTTACGGAAGTGCCACAGCAAAAGCAAGTTGGCCATTTGGACTAGGGTAGGGCTCCCAAGGGGACACAATGCAAGAGTGATGAGGAGGTGGAGGCCACATTTCACCTCCAAGGTAAATTGTTTGTCATTTTTTTTCTGCTAGCAATGGCCTACTGTTTGGTTTTACAGGGAAGTGATCTAAGCAAGACAGCCATTTTTTAACAGATACATCTGTCCATTTTACCAAAATGGGATGGAGTAGGAGGAAACTGAAGGCCTCACCAATCCCCAACTGGGGATGACTTGCTCATTCGTCACACATAATATTTCACTGTATTCCTATTATTACTAAGCTATCTGTAATAGTGGAGGTCAGACCTCGGGTTAGCTCATGCCAAAGTGTAATCTCAGATATCTGTGAGAAGTTCACTATGTCGAGTACAACAGGATTCACAGCTGCTCCGAGATTTCCAAACCCTGGAACTGCTCACACGTGTCAGAGTAACCGAGCACACTGTCTTCTGTCTGCGGGTCTTTACTTAATTCCAGTTTCCATTTCTTGTACTAAGAAAGAGGTTCCTTCCACCTGTTTGTCCCATACCTTCCCATATTTATACTACCGGGGAAACTATTTCAATCGATAAAGCTTATCTGTCATTTTTGTTTTCCCCTGATCTTTAGCATCTGTGGTCCTGAAGTCATTCTACATTAATCTGGTATATTGATTTTGCTTTTCTAAACGACAGCAACCTCGGCCAGGCTGCCTCTCACTCCTTGCCTCCTCAGCCCTTGCTCTTTCTAAAGGGTGATTCCTGACACCCCACAGCGTCATCTCGCCCGCCCCCGCTTCTCCCATCATTTGTAACCATGTCCGGAATCTCCTCTGTCTGCCTCCCACCACTGGCCCTGTTACAGCAGTGCTCTCGCCATAACCACAGGGTGAATATCAGCAGGACTCCGCCAGCCGGGCTAGGACCTCAGACATTCGCACTTCCAATTTGCCCCTCCTCCGGCTCCCCTGATCCGGGAGCGCGCGGCCACCGCTGCAGCCGGGAACACGCGCGGGGCCACTCGCATAGGATCCAGGGGCGCCCAGCCCCGCCCCCGACCCGGCAGCTCAGGTTGCGGTCTCTCCCTCTCTCTCTGTCTCCCCTCCCGGCCCTAGACTCGCGGCCCCGCCCCAGCACCGCCCCCTGGTTCCTGCCCCCGCCCGCCACCCGCGTCGCCG